CTCTCTGTTAAGTGTGTATAGGATCACATGTTAAATGTGTATAGGATCACATGTGTTGCACTCCCTATTAAGTGTAGGATTGCAGCTTTAATTTTTAATCTCCAATACTGATTGTTCTGGTAGCAAGTTAATGCTGCTGCTGTTTTAAACTGTACATTTTGTAGATTAGACCCATGGACGCAAACGACCTACCCCCCAGTTTGTCTGTGTCTGTCAAATAATCACTTAACAATCAGATCTTGCGACTTACAGTACAATGCACTTAAAATGCATTGCACTTAAAATGCATTGCACTTAAAATGCATTGCACTTAAAATGGGGCATATGGCCTGTGAAACCAGCATGGAATCACAATAGTTATGTTTTCTGCCATGCCATTTTTAACTCAACAGTTTTAAATAAAAGGCTGTTTACAATAAAGTTTATTGTAGGTCAAGTTTATGTAGTATCAATACAATAAATAAGGTTTGTGATATATACAGAAATATATATATATATATGATGATTTAAGCTTAAGTGCTTGATAGATTAATTGGACAGGCACCCTCCTTTCTGAACTTGAGGTACACGACTAAGACTCTCTTGTTCCAGTAGGAATTTTAAGGTAGTGTTTAAGTTTCACAAATTGTTATCCTTTCATTGTCCCATTTACTGTGGATTGTTTCTATGTACACCACAGAGAAATGTGACTAATTAAGCTGTATAAAAATTTCTTAAATAAATAAATATTTATTCACTATATTCTTTTCAGTGCCCTGCTGAAGACATTATTTAGACAAACCTTCCTAGATGTTTCAAAACTCTGTAGTGTTAATTTGTTTTAGTCTATTTTACTGTGGTTTGAACCTGTTTTAAATCATGGTTGTGTTTTATTTTAGTGATTATTTTATTGTTCTATCCTTTTGCAAACCGCTTTGAGATTTTTCTACAATTAAATAGTATATATATTTTATGAAATATAAAATAAAATTTTTATGAACAAAACTATGTCATAAAGATAAACCCATGTCCCACTCTATATTTGATCCTGGTGCATATAAAGTAATTACTTTAAATTATGGTGATGACACTGAATTATACACCAGTACTGTACTTCCCATTGTCCTGAAGGACTAAATAACTTTTATTTGTTTGCTCTTTCAGCTTTTTCTTAAGGTGAATCCCTACATGCAGCCCAGGTTTATTTGCAATATTTTAAAATGCCAATATATAGCATTAAACCTTTATCCTGGGCATCGTTTCAGTGCTCATTGTATTACAAATCTTGCAACGAGTCTGCAGATCTGATTCTACATGCATCATGTCATATTATATGGCTGAGAGAATGCTGGGAGCATATTACAGCAGTGTCCCAGATTCTACACTGAGTTACAATTGTTCTTTGATCTCTCAAGAACACAACAACTTTCAAGAATACACAAGAAACCACTTCTATCCTGTTCCAATATAATTTACGAGTTGTGTCTACCTTCTTGAGGTTAAAGTTGGCTCATTAAATAGAGAAAACTAGAATGCTGAGCTTTTCTAAGTAATTTGTACCAAAACTTTAGAGCTGTCGCTTCCTAAAGATCTGCCAGATCACAATGGAAAGCATGTGAGATAGTATTTAAGTTAAGCAAATAGGTAACTGAGGCTTTTAGCATGTGGTCTTTTAGTTGCTTTAACCAAATTTTAACAGCTTTAAAATCTGTGTTTTAAATCTACCATCACCTGCCCTGAGATTAATTTATGTCTCAGTTCAGAACATCCTACAGCTCTAGTAGGACTGGAAACTATAGTTTGTTTATACTTCACTTTGGCAAAATATAGAAGCAGAAAGCTTCTAATCTCCTCCTGCGATGTGAAGGTTGGAATACACAAGGCCTAAGTTTACTGTGGCTTTTTCATGAATCTCCAAACTATGGGCTGGATCTAGACTTCCCATGAGTGTAGTTTCACTCATGCGACATTCCCACTGAAGGTCATTTTCATCCATTCCTCCCTGTAAAACTGATACAAATGATTTGGGCACCATCTGGAACAGCTGGGAGGTGGTGCTGGGGTCTGACAGGGTAATGAGAAATCAATTAAAATTGCCTCCCCTTTTCCACACAATTAAGAGTTTATGCTGGATCAGAGTTCCTTCCAGGAACAGGAGGAGTCCTTTGGTTCATGGAAGGGCATATCTAGATCTAAACCTATAGTTGGAAGGATTGTCCGAAGTAAACCATTGTGTTTGTGTCATATAAAACCAGTTCCTGGGTTCACTGCTGTCACACATAGACATAATGCAGTTAAGGTCTGGCTTGGTCCTCAGAGTTGTCCCCATCAATTTCCCTGGAACAAAAACAATCAATCTTCAACTTGGGACACTGTTAAATGGGCAAGACTTGACCACTCCTGCACATGCTGTGTGACTTTCACTGATAGATGTGGGGTGATGGATTACAATACAAAAGCCCTTCCTTAGCTGTCACAATGTCAGACATTTAGGCAATGTATTCAAAATAAATTAAAATATCCTCACTCCTCTATCTGAATCCTTCCCATCTTGTTGATACCTTTCTTCAACTGGGAGCACACTACCACAACACACCAAATTATATTAGTAATGAAAATAGTGGCACTGCTGCTACCTAAATCTTGGAAGCAATGCTTATGATAATATAGCCTGAAGTGGTACTTATTGTCGTTCTCTCTTACATTCCAGATGTACCTTGTTGGCTCATGTTCAACAATAATTCTCTCTTCAAGTCTTGAAGCGCTATTGCCTAGCTAGAACATCTCCCATGGTGTATGTAGACTTTGTTCGTTGTTCTCATGGCTAACATTTTACATTTCTCTTTTGAATTCTCTCAAACTAACCTTCCAATTTAACCATGTTTAATCAGAGATGGGGGACGCGGGTGGCGCTGTGGGTAAAGCCTCAGCACCTAGGACTTGCCGATCGAAAGGTCGGCAGTTCGAATCCCTGCGGCGGGGTGCGCTCCTGTCGTTCGGTCCCAGCGCCTGCCAACCTAGCAGTTCGAAAGCACCTTCGGGTGCAAGTAGATAAATAGGGACCGCTTACTAGCGGGAAGGTAAACGGCGTTTCCGTGTGCGGCTCTGGCTCGCTAGAGCAGCGATGTCACGCTGGCCATGTGACCCGGAAGTGTCTGTGGACAGCGCTGGCCCCCGGCCTCTTAAGTGAGATGGGCGCACAACCCTAGAGTCTGGCAAGACTGGCCCGTACGGGCAGGGGTACCTTTACCTTTACCTTTAATCAGAGATGAGCCCTTCAATGTGACTTTCTCTCATCAGTGGGGTTAGGAATGCATTTTAAATTATCATCTAATATACTTGCCGGTTTTTCCAGTTTACAATGCCAGCAAATCTAATAAGTGAACAGTCTCCTTCACCCAAATAATTACTGAAATTATTCCCTCCAAAACCAGATCAAGAGTAGAGCCTTTCTGAATGCTACTGAATATTTCTTTTCAATGTAACATCATACCATAAAGTATTTAATCTTGTATTGCTTTCTTAGAAAGTTCTCTGCTCATCTTACAAGAGCAGCTTCTAAAGCATAATTCTCAAACATAGTTGGGAAGAAAGTACTCTATGCAGAACTATGTCAAAGGTTATCCTGTACTAAAAGTAATTATCAAAGGATACTAGGTAGTTTGGGTGCAGTTTGTTCTAAATAAAATCTTACAAATTACTTATTTTATAGATTATAAAGAGAACCAGTTTGTCTCAGGTTTTTGTGGTCTTTTCCATTCTCCAGTATTTCGAAGTTTGCTTTGTCAAAGAGGTTCAGTCTACTTATTTAAAAGATGCATGGGAAGAGGTTGACACAGTTGTTGCTAAAGAACTTATAAATAATCATGTTAATAACTAATAGGAAATCATGAGCTTGGATGAAAGAAAGAAGCTTCCATTTCCGTGCCTCCTTTTCTTTTACCCTATTTCAAAACTAACCACTTTTGTTATAAAGCTTCTGCCTTCTGGAAGAAGGTACAGGGTTATAAAGACTAGGACCAGCCGCCTGAGAAACACTTTCTACCCAAATGCAATTCTGGTTTTAAACACAGTATAAGGAGTCTCTATAGGAGTATACTGTATTTTAAAATGGGGTTTCGGAGTTTTTAGGGGGTTTTAAATGTCTTAGGTAGATTTTTCAATTTCATCGTTCTGTATGGGACAATGACAATAAAGATATCGTATCGTATTATATCGTATCGTATCGCTACAAACAACCCTGTGGCACCTTAAAGATCAACAAATTTATTATGGCACAAACTTCTGTGAACTTCAACAGTTCATTATCCAGAGTTGCAGGTACATGCACAAAATGCTTGGGTGGAGGAGTGTGTGTGTGTGTGTGTGTGTGTGTGTGTGTAAAAAAGGGAGGTCAGATGGAAATAAAATGCATAAGAGAGGATAATCATACACTTTTTAAAAAAAGTTTTGTGAACTGCTGCTGTTAGCTGACAAGACATTCCAGCATTAGTCAGGCAACTAAGCCATAAAATGTGTTTAAAATCCCTTGTCTAAGTTTCAGCCTACAAGTGGAACCGCATCATTCATGACACCATGGAGCAAAGAAAGCTCTTTGTATCTGGTGCCTGGAGTCTTCTTGTCAAGGTGTGCATATTGCTGACGTACACAAACAAACAAACAAACAAGAGCAAGAAGTGCAACAGGCATAGCTGTCAACCTTCCCTTTTTTTGCGGGAAATTCCCTTATTCCAGCGCCGTTTCCCGCTGCTATCCCGGATTGTTAGATATCCCGTCTCCGGGACAGGTGAGGCTGCTGATCCCTTATTTTCAAATCCGAAAGTTGACAGCTATGGCAACAGGCAGTCTCCCACTCCTATGCAAAATGCCGGCGCGTGTGCACGGTAAGGGAGGGGACCTCCAAATGCACAAAGAGCCATTTTTATCTTTTAAATCTGCCTGCCCACGGGCCCATTTTACGTCCTTTCCCCCCGGGGACCCAGCACCCCACACGCCCACACCCCGGCTCTACCCGACTTGACCTGGTCGCCGGGCTCCTTTTCCAGCAGCTGGGAGCAGAGATCCGAGCAGAGCTGGAACTTCCTCCGCCTGAAGTAACTCAAGGCGTGCAGCAGCGGGTCCATTTCTAGCCCCATTGCGGGCCAGAGGCGCGGCGAGTCGACGGCGAGAACAGCGCGCCTCCTTCGGCGTCGCCGCGCTCCCTTCTGCCTAGGCCCCGCGCCCCAACTTAGCTTAGCCCAGCAACGCTACAGCCAGGGTCCTCGCCGGCGTGTAGTCGGCTAAGCAACTGCCTGCGCAGGAAAAACAACAACAACAGCCGAGTGGGAGCCTTAGCTCTCCTCGCTGCTCAGCCCTTCCCGCTCGCCTTGCGTGAGAAGTAGAGAGAGAGAGAAAGAGAGATGGTTGGCCTAAAAGACTCTTAGGAGTCGCCTCCCATTTCTCTTCTTCTGTGCTCTATTTTGTTTTGTATTATTACCCCTCTCCTTTGCAGGGAATTAAGGCTGCCGGTTGCTGCCAGGGTTCTTTCCCCTGGTGCTACTATATTATTGAGAATTTTTGTGTGTTTTTTTTTAAAGGGCAAGCTTTTCGCAGCAGGAATGTTTCGCCTGTTTTTGTTTGTTTGTTTGTTTTGACTGCAATGAAGCTGCTTAAAAGCTCAAGAGCTCTGTCCGGGGAGCGAGAGGGCATTCCTGTATTTAGCAGTGACTGAAGAAGAAGGGACGTTCTTTTCACTTCTCAATTCTGGTGGGGTGGTTCGCCTGAGTCCAGCAATGAGGAGCTTGTGGCCCTCCAGATGTTCATAGCATCGTGAAATTGTAGAGTTGGAAGCATAAGAGCTAACCTCCCTCCCCCCAAGTTGATAAACATTGCCATTCAAACGTGTGTGCACACCATATCATGTGATCAGTTGTGTGGGGCGGGGCTTACCTGCCCCCCCCATATTTTATTCAGGTTGGCACCCCAGGTTGGAAGAGACCCCGAGGTTCATCTAGTCCAACTCCCAGGAATGCAGGAATCTCAACTAAAGCATCCCTGATAGATGGCCATCCAACCTCTGCCTAAAAATGGCAAATGAAGTCCACCAGCGAGTACACCAGCTTCTGAGGTAGTCTGTTTTACTGTCGAACAGCTCTTACCGCAAGAAAGTTCTTCCTGATCTTTAGTTGGAATCTCCTTACTTGTAACTTGAATCCATTGGTTCAGGTCCTGACCTCAGGAGCAGAAGAAAACATCCATGAGGCAAGGTGATGCCAATACCTTGGGCATGCAGGCTCCACCAGGGCAGCAGATCCAGTCTCCGAGGAGTGCATTGCTTACTGCTGCTTCCGCGGTGGCAGTGACAGTTGGATCTGCCGCCACCTCGTCACCCTCCTCCCGATGCCGCTACTACAGCAGCCTCTTGGCAAATAGGAGTTGCTGCTCGTCTCCCACTTTTGTTCCCAATGTAGATCTTTATTCTCCCACTTGTTCCCAATGTAGATCTTCACTCACTCCTTTTCCCCTGGTGGGCATGGGTGCCAATTTGAATAAAATATTGAGGGGGAGGTAAGCGCCACCCCATAATATTGATCACCAATGCTATTTTTCTAGAAAAAGAGGTGCCAGAACTCACCATAAACACTTCCCTTGTTCTCTTATAACAGCAATGGCACCCACCTGAGAGGTGCCAGAACTGAGTTCCAGTGAGTTGCGGATGAAAAAAAGCCCTGTTGATCACAATGCAAAATAGTGAACACACACACTATTTAAATGACAGTGCCTATCAACTGGGGGGGGCTGCCCTCCCCTCCTCAAATATTTTATTGGGGAGGGCTGAAGGGACCTTGGCTCCTAGGAGGTGGCGCTTCTGGGACACCATTTTGTGGTTTGCCACAGGTGTCTTGGACCAGCCCTCTAACCAACAATCAGCGGTAATGGGAGTTGTAGTCCCAGAAGTATCTGAATCATTTTTTGTTTACTTCCTGTCCTTCACCCTGAAGGCCCACAAGTTCCTCTTGCCTGGTCTAAGTTGGACTAGGACTGAGGAGACCCAGGTTCAATTTCTCACTTGCTCATGAAGTTCACTGGATGATCTTGAGCCAGTTACTATCTTTCAGCCTAAGCTACCTCACACTGCTGTTGTGATGATACAGAAAACTCCTCTCTGAAACCCAAATGAACCATTGGCCTGACTCCATACAGAGCTCTCCATGATCTTAGATATGCTGCCTTGAGCTCATTTGATTAAAGGTGGGGGTATAAATATAAGAAGCAAATAATAAGAAACTGTGTGAGGTCTCATTATTATAGTATTATTATTATTTGCTACCACTGCTGTTGCAAGGTTTAATAGTAAAAGCAGTGTGGTGCTGTGTATAAAGTCCTTAGGAGCTAAAGAAAATCCATTTTGTGCTATGAAATACATTCATCATAATCCACTTCCTTTGCAAAGCCTTTCCTATAAAGTCAGTCTGACCTCTGCTTTGCTAACTACCAGTAAATCCCCATCTCTGCTACTCCATTAGCAAGCCCAGCACCCTCCCTCTCTCTTCTGTCTTATGTGGGATGTGATCCTGTGCATATTCACAAATAAATTCAGTGGGACTTACTCCTTGGTAATTTTATATAAGATTGCAGCTTGTAGTCACAAGAGTAAGGTTACCAGTTGTCCCCGTTTCCCAGGGACAGTCCCTGGATTTACAAATCAGTCCCCTGACAATATCTATCTATTTAGTAAGAAGTTGAAAAGTGTCGCCAGATTCATTAAAAAAAACCTGGTAACCTTACACAAAAGTCCTAATTCTGTTCTTTACAGGGCAATCAGAGAGTTGATAGGACATGAGATCAAAAATGACAGGAGGAAGCAACAGCTATTTAATATGTTAAACATGCTCATCTTTGGTATACCGTATTTTTCGCCCTATAGGACGCACTTTTCCCCCTCTAAAAATGAAGGGGAAATCTGTGTGCGTCCTATGGGGTGAATACAGGCTTTTGCTGAAGCTTGGAGAGTGAGAGGGGTCGGTGCGCACCGACCCCTCTCGCTCTCCAGGCTTCAGGAAGCTATCAGCAAGCCTGGGGAGCCCGTGGGAGTTCCCGCAGGGCTCCCTAGGCTGCGGATAGCAGCCTGCCGCCCGGCGCTTGTGGTGCCCTGAAGCAGAGCGCCCCACGCACTGGGCAGACATCCGCAGCCTGGGGAGCCCTGCGGGAGTTCCCGCAGGGCTCCCTAGGCTGCAGATAGCAGCCTGCTGCACAGAGCGCGGGGCGCGCTGAAGCAGAGCGCCCCACGCTTTGGGCAGACATCGGCCAGCCCCACAAGCTCGGGGGACAGTGGGGAGGCGCAGCGCCGCCATCCCGCTGTTCCCCAACCTGGTTTGGTTTCCCCGACCTGGTTTGGGGGGGGGGAATAAAGGGGGGGAAATTCCTTTATTTCCCCCCAAGAAAACTAGGTGCATCCCATGGGACGGAGCGTCCTATGGGACGAAAAATACGGTATATTACCTGTGATAAACTATGAAAAAACATGTTCTGTCTCACATCTGTGCTGTGTCCTTTCCCCCAAAAGGACCTATTTGTTCCATTGTATTATTCTTAGTTCCATCTGTGTGCTACTGTGCAACCCTCCATCTACAGCTTAAAGATGTGGGAGAACAGGGGAGCAAATCTTTAAAAATGCTCAGCTGCTATACAGTCATCAGCCAGTCACAGCCAATACGGTGAAACAATCTGCATTTCATGTTCACATTAACTCTCTTGAGAACATGCTGTAGCACTATGGAGAAAAGCCTTAAATTATTTATTTATTTAAATACTATGCACAATTGGTTAGATTATTTATTTATTATAGCCCCAGACATGCACATTGGTTTGTTTTTTAAATTAGGCTTGTTTTATATGCCTTTTGAAAATTGTTATTCAAAATGTTGCACTATACATATAGAACTGCAGGTGAACAAACCCCGTTTCAGAATTTTTTTACTCCTTGTTGCAATGATTTTTGCCCAAGACATAGATCCAGTAGATTGTGCCCTCTCTCTATAATCCTTTAGTACTACACATTGTGTTCGCTCCATAGTATTTCTTGATAGGTTTGCATCTCAAGTTGGTTGTCCAGTAAAGCTGTTTTACAATCATGTTCTATAAAGTATAAGATACTGGTGTAGTGCATCAATCAAACATTTAAAAATGAAAATATTAGCCTGCACTAATTATACAAAAAGATATTAAAAACATACTGGAAAACACTGCAGATGCTGTTTAAATGCATATAAAGTATTGCTTTATGTCATTTTAGATCACATCATAAGATAACCAGTTCTGCAATTGCAGTCACAGAACTAGAATTTTAAAGAGTTCTATATTTAGTTCTGTTGTCAGTTCAAAATCAAATCAAGCCAAGCTGAGAGACGGAAATCAAATTTTCAGTGAAAGAACATTTGTAGGAAAATGAAGCAATTTAATCAGCCTATTTTTTTGTGTTTCATTTATGCCATTGAGGCTTTCATATACAGTACACTGTGTTCAGTATAAGTTAGTGGTGCTCAATACAGAGTATCTATTTCAACTACAGTGGTACCTCGGGTTACATATGCTTCAGGTTACAGACTTCGCTAACCCAGAAATATTACCTCGGGTTAAGAACTTTGCTTCAGGATGAGAACAGAAATCATGCTCCGGCGGTGTAGCAGCAGCAGGAGGCCCCATTAGCTAAAGTGGTGCTTCAGGTTAAGAACAGTTTCAGGTTAAGAACAGACCTCCAGAATGAATTAAGTTCTTAACCCGAGGTACCACTGTACATGGATTATATCCACTTTTTAAAGAAAGCATACTGTGCATTATGAAAAGGATGCTACATGTATATGGCAAAATTCTTTTTGCATCTAGTGCACCTAGTGGTTTGAAGTGTGCTGTATGGGTAAATGTGAAAAGTGCTGGGTGATTCTTGTCACTGCTAGATATTAGTAGCAGGTGTTATAAATAAATATTTAGGCAAAGGATGTTGTAATCATGTTTATAATTTAGAACTTAATTTTCAGTGGACTGTGGAAATACAGAGTTTATATATCTTTCATAATAACTCTGTTAATAGGTTGCCTTTAGGGGTATGATTCACACAAGATGGCTTGCCTTATGAAAATATATATATTATTATATGCATTACAACTTTTCTGTATTAATTGGTAATATTAATAGCTATTAATGGTACTCCATTCCAGTGGCACCATAGAGAAGTGGATATGCGACTTCACAGATCAATGCTTCAGCTAACAGAGCAGTGCCTCAACACAACACAATATAATCAGAGCCTCTGTTTCCATATAAGCATAAAACATCAGATCTAATATGTGCTCCATCACATATGTTGTCTCATTGCACTTCTTTACTCTGGTTTTTGACATCTGAGGTGCATATTTTTAGGATCCACTTTATTTTTGTGATTGTAAGTTGTTTCAAACTGTTTATAATATTGTGTTTTAATGTAGTAACCTATACTGGGACCATAGGGAGAAGGTCAGGTAAATAATCATTATCACCATCATATTCTGATCACTATCATGGATACCAAAATTCTAAACTCTGTTGTAAATCTTCTTCAATTTTAAGAGTTCAGAACTGATTTTATCAACCAATGTAAATTATAACATTCCTATTGACTTTCTCAGGATCTTCAGTTTAAATTCATTCAATTTTAGCCCATTTTTCTCAGTTTAAAGGAATCCAGCAATGTTCCTGAAACAAATATAGTTTTTTATAATGATCTTGGAAAATGCATATGCAAATTGCCAACATAACTCAATTAGGGAAGAGTTTTAAAAGGCAAAATCTTTACCAGCTGCTGCTTGAGAAAGTGTGCTCTGCAACATACAACAAGCAAAACTAGTAGCGTACACAGTAGCTGTGAGAAGTAAATATAGTGAATCACTAAATAAGAATCACTCCAAGTTAATTTGTGCCAATGTTTTTGATGGAGGCAGAACATAGGCAAGTATTCTGTCGCGTTACTTCTAAGGAGAGCAAGCTGACCAATGAGGCTCTTGGAGTGCTCCTGGATCTATTGTTAAGATTGGAGAGCCAGGTTTTGATGGCATCCAGCAAAGTAGTACCGTAAATTGCTAAGTTTTTGGGTGTTGGACTTTGCAACAGTTACATCTCTGTAACCATGAGGTGAGACACAAGGTGCTTCTTTGTGGCTATTTGGTAACTAAGCTGGTGCAGAATGTGGTAGTCTGCTTTCTGAGAGTGGACCACAGAGAGCAGATAATACTAGCAGCCCAGTTTCCTTTCCAATTGGCTATCAGCATAGACTGATTTCTGGCCTATAAAGCTCTTCATGTTCAGACCCTATACTGCTGCTTCTCCCATCTCCATACTCAAACCAATTGTAATAATATCAACACCAAGTTTTCCAGTGATCCTGTTTATGCTGCCAAAACAGCATTACCCATGCACAAGACAGAAGTATCAGCAGACTGAGTAGCCCCATATTATGCATAATAATGAGAGACTAGGGAAGGCAGGGGCCTGGTAACTGGGTGGGGAGTAGCTATGGCAGGAGGACAGATGCAAATTGATAAAGTGTAGAAGTAATTAATCCTTGCCTGGAAATGTCATTTTCTGGTTTATACTGAGAAGCTGCTTTTAAACGTTGCCAGAGACAGAATTGAGGGTCGCCCATATCAATCAATGGAGAAATCCAACATTTTAATGTAGCTTGGAATGTGCTCCAGTACCTCATGCCTCCCCAAAATTGCCAAAAATTGCACCTGAACAGAATCTAAGGCTCTGAGTAGGTACTTTACTTATTTATTTAACTGCAACACACCATCTTTCTGGCCTTTTTAAAACGTTACAAAACGAAGCCAATGGCTACTTGTCAGGCTAACAACCGTTTGTGGATAAATTCAGCACCATGGAGAGTTATACAGAATCACGCCGCGTTCATGCGAATTGCGCTGCAACGAATGCCGAGAAGAGAAATAGTTGAACAGAATTAAGGCTGTTCACTCCAGATATCTCTCTCTGTGTTTGACCTGTTTGAGTTACGATGTGTCGATTTTTAAAAAAGGATATACTAATGAACGTCCACATGCACTCGGTTTACAGTACAGCAGGCGAAATGTAGTTTGGGGCATGTTTTCATCTGAATCTGGCTCTGAGGTGAAACGGAGCAGAAGGTTTCCGAACCACACCAGCCGGCAACTGAATTAAACGACAAGAGACGGTTTTATAAGGTCTCGAGTAAGATAACTAAGCAAGGAAAACTATTCGGTCAGGGAAGGAGGGACTGCTGCATTCCTCATGCGGTGAAGGTCGTGTTTGAAGTCTTGAAGGGAAGCTTTTAAATGTTCGATGTTTTATTGTGTTTCTATATTTTTGTGGCAGCAGCCCAGAGTGGCTGGGGCAGCCCAGTCAGATGGGGGCATTTCAATAATAATAATAATAATAATAATAATAATAATAATAATAAAATAAAGCGCCGTTTGGTCTCTCTGACTTAACATTTTGACCCATAGCCGCCTCCCCTTTCCCCTCAGGTAGCCTCCTCCGGGCTGCTTCCCCTCCCCCACGCTGCCTCCCCGCCCTTTTCTCAGGTGGCGCGAGGAAGCCGCGAGGACAAGGACGGCCATTACGCCTTGAAAGTCCACTTTCAAGGGCGGGGAAAGCTGGAAGGGGGGGGGGGTTAAAGGGAAAGGGACATCTTCCAGCTCATGGAAAGGGCGCCATGAGGAGAGGACGACGACGGCAAGAAGGGTGACAGACTGCGCAGGCGCAGAGTACAGGGAAAGTGTGTGTGGCGGCGGCTGAGGATTGACGTCGCGCGAGGCGGATCTCGAGCAGACGGAGGCAGAAGTCGGAGCGCCGAGCGCCCGGGCTGCTGAGGCGCGGAAGGGGCTCGGGGTCCGTCGCCGGGCTCGGGCTGGAGTTTTCAGCCGCTGCGAGAGGGTGACCTCCAGGCCCAGCAGGTGGATGGTAGTGGAGGAGCCGAGGCCGAGCCGCCGCGCAGCCATGTCTAGCAGGAACGGCGGCGGCGGCGGCGGCGGCAAGAGCAGCAGCAGCAGCGCTGCCAGGCTGAGGCGAGCCCAGCGCGTCCCGCGACGCCTTCTGTGAGGAGGACGGACGGACTGGCGGCTGTTCGGGAAGGCTCCATGCCGGCGGCCAGGGACTGAGCGAGGGGAAGACACCGATCCCTGGGCTTGAGGGGACCCTTTCCTTCCACCCTCACCCCCACCTACCCACCCACCCACCCCGCTCCGGGGCTCCGGCAGGAAGGACCCCGACTTCCAGGCGGGAAGGGGAAGGCGGGCCATGGCTGACCGGAGCCCCCCGAACTGCCACCTGAGGCTGGAGTGGGTTTACGGCTACCGGGGCCACCAGTGCCGCAACAACCTTTACTACACGGCCGCCAAGGAGATCGTCTATTTCGTGGCGGGGGTCGGGGTGGTCTACAGCCCCCGGGAGCACCGGCAGAAATTTTACCTGGGGCATCAGGACGACATCATCAGGTAGGGGGGAGGGGACACCACCCAACCCCGCCGGGAAGCCCTTTCCTTCCTTCCTTCTCTCCCCCTCTCCCTCCCTCGTTTCCATTCCCAGGTCTCCTTTAAGCGCCGTCTCTGCAGGAAGACTTGTCAGAGGAGGAGAACGCGCTCGATCGACACAGACAAGCGCTGCCTTTCCTCCCGCCTTGCGAAAAACAGCAGCGACAGGCAGGCGCCCTCCTTAGGGCATCAGGGTCCTCGTTTGATCCCAGTCTACAGAAGCGCCGTATTAATCTGGGATTTCCCCCCACCCCCACTCCCCTCCCTGTGCAATATTATCTCTCTTCCCTATTCGAGGAGGCTGTGTGTGTCTGTTTATTATTATTTATTTACTATCCTAGGGGCCGGCCACTTCTTCTTCCGCGTTCACTGCAGTTCCACTCTCTTTCGTGATCTGGCGAATAGTAAATACCCTGGAAACAATCTTCTCTCTAGTTGTCAAGGGCAGTTGTTAATAGGTTATCTCCTTCTGCTCTCGGGAGTATGGGAAAAGTTTGTTAGGCTGATGCCTGGGTATCGATCTTCCTTCTTTCCTTCTCTTTCTTGCTTCCAGAAAACCCCAGAAATCAACATTTTTACCTTATAAATACAGATAGGATTTCCTGTATTCATATCCCAGCCCCCACTCTGTCTTTCTCACAAACACATCTGTTATCGGAGATCTGTACTGTTGCGATTGCTGAGATCAACTAAGGGTGCCCTCTTAACAACACTAACCTCCTGCCTGTTTCACTCAGCCAAAGGCACATAGAGAGGTGTTCTCAGGCTGCTGTTTGCATCCTTCATTATGAAACTACCTCTCCTTGGGAGTTTACAATAGTCCAAGCTTAAAATCTTTCTGCAGCATTGTAAGGTCTTCAAGTATCTTTTCTGACCGGCTTATGTGGGTGAGGAGTAGTGTGTACTCTATCCCTAAAACACAGGCTTGGATTCTGACATGTATACATTTTGCTCCATTTCCGCAAAGTACACTGTGTAAATCCAGTTTATATTTGTCCAGTTTGCCAAAAGCAAAAACAAAACCTAGTACTGCAGTACAATATACTCACATATCACCTCTAGGTAGCTGATTTTCTTAAATTTCTCTTATTTATTAAAGTCAATAAATTTATAAATATTTACTGTTGGTAAATTATATAACATGTGACCCACTTCTGCAGCTTTAAATATTTCTTTATTTGTGTTCGGCTGTTAGAAATCACAGTTTTACACATTTAGTATTGGTGCTCATAGTTGGTAGAATTGCCAAACAATTTTTAGAAGCATCAGTTTTGGAATCTATTTAGTCTTAGGGGTGGCAATTGATGAGACTGAATCTAAATTTTGAAGCAGTTTTGCTTTGGTTTGCTTATACACTTTATTTATTTTAGACTGGTGACAATGGAATTTCCCACAGTAATTTGTTATTTTTCTCTTGAAATTGTATATTATATACACAACAAATGGCAGTTGTGGATCCCTAATACGAAAAAGGCATTGCTTCCTGTTGAATTCTGAACTTCCGGTGGTCTCATATTTTTTCCTTGAATGTTAAATTTCTGAACAGTTCTTAAACACTGGGTTGGTATTTTAATCATGGTGGCGTGTGCTGACTTGGCATTCATTACTGAGACTTGGTTGGGGGAGATGGGTGTGCCAGATCGTTCATGGCTGTGCCCCACTGAGGACTCAATGCAGCACCAAGCTGGCTTAGAGAGCCAGGAAGGTGGAGTTACCAGAGTTCATTCTCCCTTACCAGGAAACCTCTCTACTGTGGCGTGGGTCTAGAGCAGGCATAGGCAAACTCAGCCCTCCAGATGTTTGGGGACTAAATCTCCCATCATCGAGGACCAGTGGTCAGGGATGGTGGGAATTGTAGTCTCAAAACATTTGGAGGGCCGAGTTTGCCTATGCCTGTTCTAGAGGGTCTGTATCATACATTGAGTCTTAGATTAGGGATGCTGTTGTTGTATTGTGTTGACCAATAGCCTCCCTGACAGAGCTGGCTGAGGTAGTCTCAAGCATGGTGTTAGAGGAATCTCAAACCATAATACTGGGTGACTTTAATACCCATGCCAAGGCTGCCATTGGACCAGCACAAAGTAGCATGGCCTCCATGGCAACCTTGGGTCTGTCTTAGGTTGTTATAGGACCCATGTACAGAGCAGGATTACCCTTGGTCATTACTCCAGGTGGTGACAGGTGTGATGAGTCAGGAATTGGGGTAGCATTTCTGTGGCTCATTTATCATGGTTAGACAACTTTCTGATGAATTTTGGACTGAAGGCAGCTATCCTGCTCTGCAGTGATGGGACCAGTTATGATGGCCTGCCTCCAGAGACTTATGGATCCTGATGGATTCCTGAATACTTGTGGGGACTTGGGGACAGGCTCTTGTTTCATTGTTGAATGGTGAGATGCAGAGGGCTATTGACACAATAGCTCCTGAGCATTCTGTGCAGTGCTGCAGGTACTGATATTCTAGGACACTGTGAGTGATGAAACAGGCTGGATGATGGCTAGAGTGCCAGTGGTTTAGATCTCACTCTGAAGCTGACTGAGCACTGATTAGAGAGCATAATTGCACCTACTTTGTAATTTAGATACTACGGTTATGGTTCCAGTTCCAGCAGAGGTGTCAAATGCTTTGTCTTTTCCAATTTATGGGATCAATTTCAGTTTATGATGACATCAACGGAGTGCTAGCAAGAATGTGCCCAACTTTGTGCCCTCCTGACCCCTAGTAAAATCAAGCTGGGGGATTGATTAGGTGGATCCAGAGTGTGGTGAACACATCTTCACATGGGTAGGAGGTTCTGCAACTTTAAAGGAAGCAGTGGTGCAGCAACTACTGAAAAAGCCAGCCCTGAACCTGGTTGCCTCCTTTCTGGTGACTGAGAAGGTTGTGCAGGATCAAGTTTAAATTAATTTTAAACTTATAAAGAATTTTTTTATGTTTGTGAAGAGCTCTTTGTACTGTAAGAAAATGCTAGCTATGCTGGTGGAGTGAGAACTAAATTATTTACACAAGGAGGCATTATTAGTATTTGTTTTGGATATGAAGTACCGCCCCATATCATGCCTAATGTGTAAAGTCTAGAAGGCATTGTGGGCTCTTTTCTTTCTTTGTCTTTCTGCTTATAGTACTGCATGGGCTTGAAAAGTTGTAGCTTGCATTTGGATATCTGAAATGTCATGCTCTAGAAACAATACATGTTTACAATGAGGCTTAGTAAAAGCATTGACTTATGGGCTGTGTCTTTATATACAACAATAGGCTACAATATCTGTAATATGTGTGATTCTATGCACAGTTATGTAGAAATCACTGGAGCTTACTCCTGAGAGAAGATGGATAGAATTACATTGTAATAACACTGATAGTCATAGTGCTGAAGGGCACAAACCTGTAGATACTTTTTGCATAACTGACTTGTTTGAAACTCTGAACCTACACTTAAAATCTCAAATTTGCTGCAATCTTTTTTAAAAATTTAAAAGGATAATATCTATTGTCAGGTGCAATGTTTTGTAGTTGAGAGAATATATTTTAGCTACCATTCCTTTGATGGTGAGAGCTACAAAAAAGGCACTTGTAAGCATTTAGGTGGGAAGGGTCAAGGAAGAGTTTATTTGTCATGACTTTCAACCTGAGGAACTTGCAGTGTGCAGCAGAAGACTCATATAAGGACAAGGTTCAGGCTGTTTCCCTGACAGAAGAACTACCAGAACCACCACAACTCATATGATGAGTCCCCTGCAGTACCTCTATCATCCTCAGCCTCACAAAATCAAAGTCTGCAAAATAGGACAAATGTCATTTAACCACCTTGCCAACCAATTGCACTTCAGATCTTATTAGCCTTTAGAAGACTTCAGGTGGCTAGCTCCAGCAAAAACAACATCTTCCTATATATGCCTTAGTAGCAGGACACTTCAGCCAGCAGGGCCCCTGTGGAGCTCTCTAAGGACTTGTTTGTGACTGCTTTGGCCTGACTTGATTTGCCTCCAGCAGCCACTGTGTGCTTCCCTTGCTAGCCTTTCTACTTCTCTTTCAACTTCCCATACCCACTTTAAGATGACCAACTCACACTTTGAGGATGATCTAGAGCAGGGATGGCTAATCTGTGGCCCTCCTGTAGTTGTTTGACTCTACCTCCCATTAGCCCCAGCTAATATGGCCAATGGTCAGGGATTATGGGAGTTACTGTCCAGCAACATCTGGAGGGCCATTAATTAACCATCTAGATCCACAGCAAATTCATTTCCAAAGTACATAGTTTCCCACACTCTAGGCTTGGTTCCTCCATTCCAAACTGGAGCAAACTTCACTTGCTTTTTGTATAAAGATAAGAAACACTGACCCCAGACCTTCAAAGCACTATTGTGATATAAGGACTAGTCCAATGGCATGCTCTGTTAGTCTTTAACACTTTAAATGTCAGGTGTATAGTGCAGGTTTAACCACCCCACAATAGAAACAAGTGTATACTCCTTTATTTTCTTTCACAAAAGTGTGTGACTACCAATGCATAAGGAAAAAAGTGAAGCACTGAAATTGAAGGAAGTAGAAATCTTTATTTGTTGGAGCATTATGTCATGCTGCTATGCTAAAGGTTTTATGTTTAAGTTATAAGGAACTGGAGGAGTACACTGTTATTTATTTCTCTTTCCCTCCAAAGAGCAGCATAAGAAGCTGGTAGATGGAGGTAGGTACTATCCACCTTAATTTCATCCTCTTGTTGACACATCATGCATGCCCTAGTACATGTTTTTATGTTGGACAGTGGAGTGCAGTTGACAATTACTGTTATTGGCCATGTTTATAAATAAGACATGGATTGTTTAGCTCAAATGTAGTTTGTTTGTACATGTGAGCCTGTTCTGGCAAGTTAATGATAATTAACCCAACAAATCTCTGTATGAAGCCATGATTTGAAGTTGGCTTATGAATGGTAACCATGGTTTATTGTTACATCTGAACC